TAGTAGAGGCATTCTTGTAGTCCTAAAAAGATTCTAAGCAGACAGTAAAGCATTATATGCTAAAGGCTATATTATGTAGAACTATCTCTCTTAGTTAACTAGCTCTTTAGAGTCTAAAAAGTCCTGCGCTTGCATAGAATAGCCTAAGAGGTGCCTATTAGTTTAGATAGCTGTTACTGTCTAGCTAAAAAGTATGCATAGTTTATATTATTTAATCTTTTTACTTAGTTAGCTAAATAAAGCAGATTTAACATAGAAATAATTTAATATAAGTGTGTTTATTATATAAGAAAGTGTTTATAGTGCGTTTATATAAGTAGCTAAGCGCTAATAAGTCTAGCGTGTAGATATAGCACATATTTTTAGAAAAACTGCCTAATTAAGGAATTATATCTATGCTTAGCATACTTTATTTTAACCTTATTATTAACAACACCTGCTATAGCTACCTATATACCCTTCTTTAAAGACAATAACAATAATTGCCTATAAGTTGCTCTACCTAGGCTTCTACATAATGCGCTAAAGATATGCAGACACATAATATATACTTATAACTATGCTAAGTTTCTTTATTAAATCTTTTTAGCTACTTTTAAATTTAACATTTATTTTACTAAGACTTTCTACTAAACTTTTTTTTTATACTTACTATTCTTACTTAAAACTATAGCTAGCTTTAGATCTACTACTAAGTTTATCTCTAGGCTTAACCTACTCTACAACACACTTGCCTAGCATAATAATATAAAGATGTAGGCCTAGTAGCCTTTTTTTATTTTATAGGTTTTCTGCAACACGCTTTTTATTTATAAAAAGATATTTAGTTAATAAAGTGTTTTTTTTAAAGTTAAAAATAAAGCTTATTTATTACATTCTTTTTTCTAGCTGCACTGTGCACAAAACTTAACACTCTAAATGCACACACTCTACACTATAGGCAACCCCTTTAGGGAACCCCTTTATATAAAATAAAAGGATGCGCTAGAGCAGCTATAAAAACAATAATAATAATTACTTATAAGCGCTGCTCTATCTGCTCTAGTGTACAGCGCTCTAGGAAACTAGTTTAAATAAGTAAAGCTATTACTAATACTTTACACTTAAACTATAGTAAAAATAAGCATAGTTAGTTTAGTATTTTAAAAAAAACTGCTTACACTTTTATTAATATATCCCTAAGCTTTATGTAGTTAGAGTTAATAATATATTTTAATAACACTTTTAACTATCTAACTATAGCTTATCTACATTATAATAAATGCGCACACTACTTATATTAGCTGCTCTGTTATTTAATAAGCGCTTTTAACACTTATGTGTTAATCTACTTAAAGACACTATACTAGCTACTAAATTAGTATGTAACACATTTATATTATGTAATAGGCTCTAATAAACTATAGTAATTAGAGTATAAAAAGTTCTTAACTGTCTTAGTGTATATAGCATAGAGGACTAGCGCATAGCCTATTTACCTCTATAACCTAGCTTAGAAGTGCATAGGCTAACAGTAATTTTATCTAATATAATAAAAAGTAATAAGACTATTTTAGGCAGTAATAGGTAGTAACTACTACTAGTTAGTGTGTGTAGAACCTAGGCTAGTATAGGGCTCCCTATAATTACAGCTGCGCGTTGCCTGTCCTTTAGCAACATATACAACTCTACACCTAGTAAGTATAGTACGCTAAATATAGTAAAGGCTGCTGTAAACAAACTATCTAGACTAAAAAAGTATACTATAACTATAAAAAAACTGCCTTAATAACTAGAAATATTACTAAGTAAAAGATTATTTTATAAAAAAAAGTTATTATTAAATAGTAACTCTAGTACTATAGTTAACACTATAAACTTAAATAACACATTAATTATAACTAGTTTAAAAGGTAGACTATATTACTTTAACTAGTTCTATTACTAGTAATATCTATGTTATGTAGCCTATATAGCTAGACTATTATCTTGCATACAACTACTTAATAAGGCCCTAGTAGCATTATGTATACCTAGCAACCTAGAGATGTTGCCTGTTCTAGAGAGTGTGTTGTTTTTATAAAACTTACTTTATACTGTAAGCATAATACACTTAAACTTGCTTTTAATAAATGCTAAATGCAACTTTATAAACTTCTAGTCTAATAGCAGACAATCTTGTACACTACTAGTGCTATACCTACTAAACTTAATAAGCACTATAACTTTATTACTTTTAATATTCTTTTATCTAGTAACAAGCCTTACTAGCTTTTATTAGTTTAGGTATAAAAAAAACACTAAAAATAAAGGTAAAACTAAAATATTATCTTTAGACACACTATAAACTTTTAAAAAGTACTAAAAAGCAGATGCCTAATATATCTTCTAGATATACTGCAACATAAGGCTAGCTTTGCTCTTTAGTGTTAGCGCAGTCTTTTTAGTAGGCAGAGGCAAGGCGCTTTAATATAGCATAAGTGCTAGATTATAACCTATGTAATAAGTAACTTTTTCTAAAAAAGGTTACTATGTTAATTATATAAATAAGTTATTTTAAAAATACTAAAGTAAGTGCCTATAATAATACTTAGAGTTAATTAAGTTTTACTACTTAGGCTTAATGCTAGCTTATTAGTTTAGCTATTTATTTATCTAATTAGAGGGTCTACTTTTATGTTTATTATACTAAAATGTAACTATATAATTCTATAAATTAGCTAAAGTGCTCTTAACCCCCTTTTCTACAGCCTCTAATTTAGGTTTATTATGTAGAGGTGTAGACTTAGGCAGAGGTGTTACAGCAGGAGTAACAGGCGTCTAACTACTACTAGTAGATGCCTAATCTAGCAATGTTATAGTTATTGTCTGCCTTAATATAAAAAGCTTTATTTTATAATAATTTTTTACTTTTATAAGTTACTTTTTTTTTATCTTTTACTTTACTTAGCTGCTAGCCTGTCTATTACTTGCATCTAGATTAGTGCTAAAACAGTTAAACACATAAAAATAAATAAATAATATAGTAACTATAGTTTTACTATAACTACACATGCTATAACTAAACTACTGCATTAAATTACTTATATTCTAGGTAATTAAAATATTTTATTAGTATACCTACTTAATTCTAGAGATATCTATACTTATTTTAAGCGCAGTTGTATAGACAATAATCTAGATAGAGGCATTAGCGCCTTTAAAATTTTAATATATCTCCTGCTAGTCTGCGTCTGTAACCTAACTAGTATACGCCTAGACTACCTTCTTAGCATCTGCTATAAAGTAGTGTCTATTTAACATAAGATAAGATTAAAGGAGCTCTATAAAGTTAGTAATATAGGTGTAACTATTAATAAACACACATGTTTTTAAAATAAGCTTTAGGTTACTAGAAAAACTAGTAGTACTAAACTTATAATTAATAATATATAAAAGCTAAGCATACATGCTCTTACTATAATTATTAATTAGAATAATAGTATACATAATTTTAGAATAATCTACACATGTCCTAATTACCTCTAGGCTGCCTATTAGATTATTACCTATCCCTAGACCCTCTAGCCTAAAGCTACTAAAATAGTGTACTACCTCTTTTATCTACTTGTTAAACATAGTAGTATAAGTAAAAAATATTATATTAGAAGATAAACACTACTAAAGCTTATAAAACTATAAATACTTTTTCTAGAAATCTTTTTACTATTATATAATATAGCACTTGTCTAATGCTACTAACCTAACCTAAGCATAGAATATAGTGTTAGTAAATAGCTGTTAGAACGCTAGTAATACAGCCTACTTTAGACCTAGTAAAATATAAGTGTATAAAAGCTACTAGATCTTTTAGAATATTTTTAAGTTAACATTTTTTATTTATTTAGTAACTAGATATAAACGCGCTTTAAAATACTAGCAGATTACTTTAAACTACTTATTTTTTAGCTTTAATAGTAGTATAATCTAAAGCGTAATATTGCCTATAAACATAGAATATACATGTAAAACAATGCTCTTTCTAAAGCTAGTGCAGGCTATAAGGATTATATTCCTAAGGCTATACACAAGCTAACAGATAGTGCGCACTTGCTGCTTATATAGCTCCTTACTACCTAATAACTTCTATATAGCCTAAGTAAGTAATAGTGTTTAATACTAAACATTACACTTTATAAAACACTTATATACTAAATTTTATAAAGCATTAGCACTTAAAGTATAATAAGCTTTAACATAAAAAAGCATTATACTAGCTAGTCTATATACTTAATTTAGCGCTGCATAGTTCTTATTTAGCACTAAATAAGTAGTCTTTTCTAAGCAGATAGCTAGAAGACTTAGCGTAAGCTGTACTTATGCTAGCCTCCTACTTAAACTCTAATTCCCTGCGCGCTAACCTAGCCCTCTAGTCTACATAGTAGCTACTACAGCAAATAATTAGCAGTACACATTAAAAGGTGCGTAAACAAATATATAGATAATATATAGAAAGATACTTATAATATTTAGTGTTTAAACTGCTTACTATGTAAGCGTTAGTACTATTTTACCTACTATAATAGAACTATATATATAGAATAAAATTAGTAAATCTAGAAGCTAGAGGTAGTTTATAATAGTAAAGATAAATAGCACCTAAAATATAAGTGCCTTACAATACATAGGCGTAGATAATAAGAGGAGGGGGGGGTTTAAAGTAACATATAAAATTAGTTATAAAAAAAGTTGCATTACACACATAAATAGATTTAAATTACTCTAGACATTATTAAATTTTATTTAAAATATGCTTATAATATTCTTACTAGAGTTTTATATATTATATTAACTTTTAAAGTCTGTGTATAATATACTTATTATACTATCTAAAATTATGTTTTTATTTTTAAGTAGTTAAAATTAGTTATGTACATAAAAAATTACTAAAGTCTTTTAGACAGCTAATAAAAGAAAACATTAGTTGTAGGGGTTTAAAACTACTAACCCTAGGTTATACTCTGTTAGGAGTAGCAGTATGCATGGTGGTATGTGCGTTGTCGGTTCTCTCATCAGCCGGCTGAGCTAGCTGAGATAACAAATCTCTCCCTTCATATTGAGAGATCTCAAAGCGGCTACTATTTATTATTCATCAGTCATATTCTTATTGCGCAAGTTCAGGTCATTCTCTCACGTAGTGTCGAGACGTGAATGGCTTCAATTTCATAATATTGTTGGGTTATTCGTCCAAAATATTTCCATTAACTTGCCCCTAACCCCGAAGCTCGGATCCGAGGGCACCCCATTCGAAAGTTCGAATTACTTGCGCTAACTTTATATAGTTAGCCTTTCTCTCCAACCTTGGAATATTTTAGCGATCAATGCAAGCTCCCAGCTCCAACTTCACTTCATCATTCCACAAGCAGCATGGCTTGCCCCATCTAAGCGCTCACCACCTTCTCCTGCGACATAAGAGGAGCGAGCTGAAGCCTGAAGTGTCAGGCTGTCAAGAATCTTATGGTTAGACGGCAGCACAGGCCACGACTTGTGCCGCATCTCCTCCTGGCTTCATCAATACACCCCACCCGTCCCAAATGGACTGCATCACACATCAGAAGGCAATCATCTTGTGGCCAGTGACTTGTCACTAATTGTTCCTGGCGTTGCTGTTACCCTCTCAAAACTCAAAACTCCACCAAACACCTAGGATTTATTTATATGCTATAATCATGACGGCTATCATGGGAAACGCTACAGCTTGGCTGTTGTATAATCTCGAGCAGTTGCAAATACGAGCAAATCAAGACTACGACCCCCAGAATCAGTCACCGCTCTTCAATAAGCTCCCAGCCGAGTTGCGGAATTCGATATTCGCTCTGGCTGTCACCGAGGAAGAAGATCTGTCGAGACCATATGATCGAGAAACGTACTATTGGAGGCCCGGTTTTCGTGGTCCACGCAGATTTAATGTTACGTTACTCAGAACCTGCAAACGCATTTGGCTAGAGACTCGGCCACTGCCTTTAATACTCTTGGAGAACTTACCCTGGGCATTCTTTTTGACTGATCAGAATCGAAGGCCGAAGGGTTCGTTCGTTCACTACCCCCTTCATATAAATTCTGGAGCACTTACTAACTCCTGACTGGACAGAGTGTCAGAACAAGGGGCCACGCCAGTCACTGCGAGCTGAACAGCTTCTCACGAGCCAATGGCAAGCGCTAAAAACCATCCAGATCTTCATTCAGGGTATTACTAAATCAAACATTGAGGGATTCTTTCAAGAGCCGCTTCTCCGGCCATCTACAATCATCCTTACAGTTCGATATACCGACTGGCTTTGGTGGGAGACAGAGGATCCGTTGGAACTCGACGGCCGTCAGATGCGGTGGACTAGGCTCCCAAATTCCGTCACTAAAGTAATCATGGAGTTTGAGATGATACAGTCGCGTGAGCAAGAATTGAAGAATCTCTTCGCCAAGCTATGTCGGCACGAAGAGAGATACCGCTGGTACCGCCAGGACCGCAAGCATCTGAAAATCATGCATCGTGAAGATGCCTGGGCATATGGCAAAGAGTGGAAGTGGGATGGGCCAACGAAGTTCGAGGGGAAAACTTTCGCGCATCACCCTCCTGGTGATACGATGACTTATATAGTTAGATCTATAACATGGAGTCGAGATAAGGATGCCAACCCTTGACGAGGTATTTTGGTGCTGGATCTCTCACATTATTATCAGGTAATAATTCCTTGGTACATCTCGAATAGTTTCTTTGATCAGTTTTGCATTGATATCTACTCTCAATCTGTCACACTTTTCACCAGTGTTGCTGTAAACTTACTATTATTTCATTTTCTGCTCAACATTCTTACTAGTGGATGAGATAAGCTTGGCTCAACTGTTGGGAGTGGCTCAACTCAACTATTCAGGTAGAATTATGTTCTATGTTTTTAATATTTTTCCTCAATGATAGTGTGTATATATTGCTGTTTAAACAATTTTTTGCACCTCGTTACAGTAGCGAGTTTCATGCATTGGCCGATGGAAGGTTGTGGTAATTAGAGGACTGGAAGTACTTGACATCAACTACTTTACCCTCACAGCCAAGATCAGCATTTGTCGAAAGACGAGATCCTACCACCTGCGATACCGCTCACGACGGTATTCTCGTCGTTAGCTTTCGGCCTTTTTGTCTCGTTTCGATCGAAAGAGATATCGTACAATGGTTCCACAGTCTTGCAAGGTAAATTGTCCAAAACGGAAGGCAAGTATTTTCTCCTTGATTCACTAACTCCTCTGCAACTAGATGTCTAGATGTATGAAGGATATCTTCGAAGAAAGTAAGGTAACAGACGGTTCTCCTCCCCAAGAGTTCTTTGGCAAACTCAAACTTCGATGATTTTCTGGTTGTTGGCATTGCAACCAAAATGGTCGGAGTAATGGTGCCAGTTAATCCCAGTATGTTCCTTCCTTTATCTTAGCTTCAAGATACATACGTCGTGAAACTGAATCAATTGCGGACAGGGCATGACCACTCAGTTATACTGAAATGCCCAGACTACCTCGGAGACAAATCCTGCCGTCGCTACCGGTATTACCGATATCTAAACAGCGGACGGAGACGCTGCATTCGGGCACCCGCCCACATTCATATCTTTCCTTCAGCCGAAATGCCTCCTGAGCTTGAGGACGAAACCTTGACGGCGAGCTTTGTTCAGAGTGTGATGAAAAATATGCCAAAGCTACTGCTTTACCTATCCTTACCCATGAACTATCTGAACTCAAGGCTATGTCTCCATACAAGGTCTCTAAGGATCCGGAACACCCGTTCCCATGATTGAAGTTGGTAATGCATCAAATACATCGACAACAGTACGACCGATATCAGTGTGAATATATGAGACAGTGATGTCAAATGAGATGGGGTAAAGTGCTTTACCAACCTTGAGCATCTGCAGACACTCGCTGCTGGTCGCGTACCAGAGCTTGACCTTACGGTCGTCTGATGCCGACACGAGCCGGGCCGAGTCGTGGGACAAGGCCATGGACCAGGTGATACCGCTATGATCCTCAAGCTTCTGGAGACAGGCACTCCATATATCGATCCAATCCTTCCCCTACCTCTTGAGAAGTTCTCTTATTAGGCTGCAAATTGGGCTGAATACAAGTGCGGACGCATATGCCTAAAGAAAACTGTTCTCTATTGCCGACTCGTGAGACATAATGAATCGGCGCTTAGAATATAGTATGCTAAGATAGCATTCCTATTTGTGGATTACCTAGAACAAAGCCTTAAGTGTTACTATTCGCACTACGCTTTCGGCATCCTCTTATATAGGTTAAGAAGTTAAAGCTAGTAAAGGCATTTTCTACTTATAGAGTTGCTAAACACACCTCTATCCTATAGATTACCTTTATAATCTGCAGAAGATCAACAGCTCTAGATACAGAAGTGATTAATCTAGTAGACTTCACGAGTAGCGTGACGCCGCTAGTAAGCCTAGGCCTACCGTTCAGCCCTCCTTAGCAGGATGTGCTAATACATGTAGGCTGTACACATCTCGTCAGAGCGTCCTAGATCTAACTTAGACACATCTTAAGAGAGAAACGTAGTAGACCTCTGCTATTCTAGATGATAGAATTTATTGAACGTCTTAGTAAATCAAGAGCCTTTGCAGGCTAACGCACAGATAGATAATGCCTTCGGAGGCGGATGCATCTATATAATAAGTCGATGAACCGAGCTGACATCTTAGAATAAGATATATATAATTCCTCCTTAACTGTGCCCAGTTTTACAAAAATTGCAGGACACACCTCAAGGACGTTTCTTAGCAGCCTTGCGTGTCATCTACTAATCATGCAAAGCCTATTGACTCGTCTGCATGAGAGGTCACACTACATATTGCATTACGACACGGAGGAATGGAGGCAAACAGCAAGTGTCGTCGCCCTCTACCTAGAAATAATTGTGATTGGAGTTCTAGCTTAAACCGCTATGATCTAGAAACAGTCTTAGAAGGAGGTAGCCATGGGTAGAACTGAAAAACCGATACAGATCGTTGGGCTGCGGTCCTGAAGGATGACTCTGCCTCTAGATCTGTATCTGAAACGAATTTCTGGCTATTCCATCGACGGATGTGAGCAAAATATCGACGATAACGACTATATGGAAACTCATTGGTTGCCGAGTTAGAATGAAATGCCTTTTATGAACAATTGAGTATTGTCCAATCCACCTGCTTAACCACGTTATTGGCTATCTGTACCCTCCCCAACGGCGGAAAATAACATCTAGGGTATAAAATCATAACTAGCGTATCGAGGTTCTTTTGACTTTAAGCGGCGGAAAGAATCGATTGTACAACGGAAGGGGTTGAAGGAGCCAGGAATACACGGCAGAGGTTTGATAAGGCTTTTTGCCCATTTCGTTTTAAAGTTGTCAGGTCTCAAGTTTGGCTAGCTAGCGTAACTCACCCTGCGTGAGATACCACGAATATCCATCAACAAATGATTCAGTCACAAAGAGGGCCCCCACGGTTGGTATTCAATATAGACGTCCCATGCGACTGTTTATATCTATTACCCTTTACGATTTTTCATGTCTCGCCATGTTTCTCTGGTGGCCTATCTTGCCAGTGGCTAATCCCCTGCCGCGTCTGGTATTGCTGGTAAGTGAGGTTCTGGCATTATAGCGTTCTTGTATTGCATCAACATTCATGCAAACCGTATCCTTGGCAGCTGCTGGTGGGAATGAGAATACTGCAGATATACTTGAGACCAATCAAAGAGGTGAAAATCAGCGATCATCCATGAATACGGTGTCGGTGGCATCAGACCACCCGCAACGCTGAGAGGCAGCAAGGCCTAGTGAAGACTAGTTGCCAGAGTATTTCTTCAGCCTTCCCACAGAACTTCTCCTTTTACCTTTTAGTGAATTTGCGACATCAACCCTAGCGACAATACAATTTTCACCATGGCGACCATCCTCCCTTTGAGGCTCCTTGGCTATGTCAATGGGGAATTCTTCGTTTTCAATCCTAGCCCTGGAGAGCTGGAGTTCGATATTATCTCCTACAAGCTCACGGCAATTGTTATCTGGCTTTAGGGTATTTTTATCTTTATCTAACAGAGCATGCCAAAGTCGATGCTTTACCCAAAACAGAGTACCGTACATAGTTATAAAAGTAACAGTGATACTACCTAAGAACAGCACCAAAGTTCTTACGCCGGAAACTGTTACCCCAGGACTCCATGAGTGACCTTACTCGTCCACCCAATCAGAAAAGTTTTCTTCAGAAGAAAGACAACATATTCCACAGAAACCCACTCTCTCCTCTTCTTTCTCAAACTCTGTAATAGATGCGACTAGAGAGGATGCAGTCGGACGTAATTGCTGCTCTAGCATGAGCATCCCTTGGGTCCAACCAAGCGCTCTATTGTCTAACAGTCCCCCTATCCCTCTTAGCTCTGCAATGAAGTCCGGCAAGGCATCCATATTTGTCCGAATAAACTTCTGTCGTGATCCATTTTGGCTAAAGAACTCATCCATGTACTGAGCTGTCCTGCCCTTTAGAACAATGATCATCTCCATAAAAACGACACCTAGGCTCCAGATATCAGACTTCGTATTCCGGGGTTCATACAGAGCGACCTCAGGCGCGCAATATCTGGGGGTCATCCCGTTCACCATGCTCATGGTGGTACTGCCATTTGCATCTGTAAAGTCGAGAGACAAGCCGAAGTCTGCAAACATGACATTCCCATGGTTTACGAGGATGTTGGCTGGCTTAATATCCTTATGTCGGACTTTCTGCTCATGCAAAAATTCGAGTGCCCCAGCTAGGCAGCCAAAGAAAGTTCGAAGTTCGGGATGATTAGAAATGGTAGCGCGTGTCAAGTAAGCGCCTAAGTCCATCTCAGCAACGGGAGACATAATTAGGCCAATATATTTCGGGTCCGTATAGCTTCCCACAAACTTTACGATGTGGTGGTGCTTCAGGCGCTTTAGGATATTGATCTCAGCGATGAATTGCTTCATATCTTCTATTCTTCGTCCCCTAAAGGCAGCGCTCCGAAGCACCCGCTTCCTTGCGTACTCTTTGAAGCTGATTAAACTAAGAACTTTGTCGACCTGACTAAACCCACCATTGCCTAGGACTTCTTTCGGCTCAAAAGGAGGAGACTCCCCTTGCTTAAAGTGACAGTGCTGTCCCATTTCACCCTTTTCTAGGCTCATTGAATTCGTCAATACAAGCCGCTGGGCAACGAAAAATTTTGCTCGGATGCTTGGACTTAAACATTCCGGAAGATTTCGTTCGGTAACAGGAAACCAGTAATCAGAGAAGCCGGCGTCGATGAGATCATTAAGGAGGTTTAGATGATCAATAGTCCGAAGGACGACATACGTGCGGGGCACTTTACTCCATTGGAGATTAGAGTGCTTCAACAACGATGATATTTCGTTGATTTTGGAGTCAGTATACGATTCCTGGCTATCCTGCCCCCCTAGAAAAAAGCTGTCTAATCGGCTAGCTAAGGCCTGCTGAGCGGTAACGTTGGTTGGTGAGAGTGAAGACGAATTCAGCTGCAGTTCTTGTAACAAGAGTACGGCTGCGAGTGTGTCCTCGTGGTCTCTGCCGAGTATACTCTTCCGCCCTTCCACTGCTTGTTGGAGCAACCCTGCGGCCTCAATGTACTTCTTCTGATCGTAGAGTGCGAGTCCTAGCCAATACTTGCTGTTGAGCGTGTCTTCGTGGTCTCTGCCAAGCGTCCTCTCCCGCCCTTCCACTGCTTGTTGGAGCAACCATTCACCCTCACTGCACTTCTTCTGACTGTAGAGTGCGAGTCCTAGCCGATACTTGCTGCTGAGCGTGTCTTTGTGGTCTCTGCCAAGTGTCCTCTCCCGTCCGTCCACTGCTTGT